ACGACTAACATGAAGAGTTATTTTGCAGCATTTAAAGAGGAAGTGTTATAGTTACTGCTTTTGTGACTGCTGTTGATTACTGGGAACACCGATTGGAAATAATGCTCCTTATTAGAAAAAAGTTTCCTGTGCATCTAAAACTTAGGATCAGGTTTTACAAATTATAGCAATGGAAATGTGCATATATTAAGCATATGTTTAGCTAGCAGACACATTGCCAGTGCAATGGGCCAAGCATTGGAGCACTCCACTGCAGCATTCCCTTATTATATTTCCCTACATTCCAGAATCTTAAATGGTAGATAGAGGCCTCTTCAAGGCAGGAGGTAGTGAAAGTGCACTGATGACAGGATAATCTGAACCAGGTGTCAAAAAAAAACCCTGGAGAAATTACATTTTCTACTTTGTGGATGCTCCTTCAGTCTATCCAGATTTGGTTACCTCTTTGACACTTTACAGAACCTATATGGAGTGCCTCTTCTAGTATACCAGAAATAGTTTTTTGTTGTTTTTTTAGGAATGGACTGTTTCTGAATGATGCCTTGTGCAATTCAATTAGCCTTTTTTATCCTGAGTTGAGCTTTGTGAATGAGGGAGCTAAGAAAAATACTGAGAAAATCAGGATTGTTCCCATTTAGTTTTTGCAATACATTCCATTTATACCCTTATTTTAAGTGGTACATTTTGTTAGCTAGTATTATCCACTGCATAAAAAACTTGTGTCCTTGTCCTTTTATTCATACTCTTAAATGTTTTCTTGGGGAGGTGAGTCACAGCAACCATGAAAAGAAGCATTTTTTTTAAAGTGAGCAGTTTCCATTTTCATATAAGAATGCACTAACTTTTTTTAAAAAAAGAAACCTTAAGTGCTTGCAGGAATATTGCTGGGCAAAGCAGCACATATTCCTCTAAATGAGCATTTCTCTCCTTGTTTGAAGATTGATTTTCTTGTTCCTAAGCAACCAGCTGCCTCCACTTACAAATATCGTAGAACCCAACTATCTATTATTTTCTAACATATCGTACATCCTGTGCATTAAACAAAACTGATCGTCTAATTGGAGAACAAATTAGTGACCCAGGAGATAATCAAATAAGATATCAATTAAATGTGACATTGTGCCATAGTTTGAATGCCATGTATAAATATCCTGTTACAGAAGGTTCAGTCTCCAAACAATGATTGACAAGTGATAAGAGTGACGGTGGCGCAGTGGTTATAGTGCAGTACTGCAGGCTACTTCTGCTGACTGCCGGCAATTTGGCAGTTCAAATCTCACCAGGCTCAAGGTTGACTCAGCCCTCCATCCTTCCGAGGTGGGTAAAATGAGGACCCAAATTGTTGGGGGCAGTATGCTGATTCTGTAAACCGCCTAGAGAAGGTTGTAAAAGCACAGTGAAGCAGTATATAAGTCTTAGTGCTATTGCTATTCTCTGATGCAACAAGAGTATTATTGCTGACTCAGCAAAGTATGTTACAACTAGAAACCTTTTCCTATCACAGTGTTTGTGAAGTATTAACAATGAGCCATTATAATAGGCATCTTTATTGGTGTGCTGTTCTTTTTGAGCGTTTGTTGCAGGATCTGCTTCTTTTACACTGGGCTGGCTGCAATTCTTAAAGCCAAGCTGACATACCATGAAGTGATACTTAATCACCAGCTTGTTAGAGACAGAAGCTGTTTTGGACCTAGAAGGAATGATTTGATTGAGTTCCCCTAGCTGGTTTTCACAATCTAAGGGAAAACTAGAACATGGTTTCCCATTTTTACTCTAGCACCTTAGGTGCTATACCCTACAAGCTCTCAGACTATCTTCTAGATATTTTGGACTACTGAAAAGTAAGCTGCTCTAGAGCTGGACTTGATTCCTTGTAGTTGCCTAAATGTTTCTACAGTATGCAATTGATTCCAGCAATAATAGAAAAGTATAGTATGTCCTTGCAACCTTCTGGGATTCTCTTTTACTTCCCAGTCTAACCTATAGTTGTGATGTTTCCTTGGACATCTCCCATCCAAATATATTAGATATGATAGCAGCTTAGCTTTTTGCAGTTAGCCAGAGCCAATGAGGTACAATGCAGATAATCCCTGCCCCCTGGCCATGCTAGCTAGTGCTTAAGATGCATTCATGCAAACAATCCAGAAAAAATCCTTGCCCTTATAGCTCTGGTTTAAGAATTAGCCTTGGCGGCAGTTTATTGATTTAAAAATTACAGAATCTTTCTTCCAACTGCAAGGAATAACCTTGGATGTATTCTGTTGATTTTTTTTCACTTTGTCCTCTGAGCACTAAGACGCTTAGCTTCTACAGCTGCCTTTCTGTGCAGAAATGTACTTTTTGATTCTACTGCTTTTAACGACAATTTAAAGTTGCTGACCTTTTACTATTCCAGTTGAAGTATTTTTGAATAGACCTGTGATAGTCAGGCAACAAATGTTAACAATTTTTTATTGTATAATGATTCATAGCTAGGAAAATTCTTATTTGGATTTTAAAAAACATTATTCAGTTACTAAAACTACTAGAACAAAACCAGATTTTGTTTCCAGTTCCATTTATTGAAAATGAATTTCAATACAGCATATTTTTTTAAAAAACACATCTGGACTGCAATAGCCTATCACTATATAAGAAAAGCTCTTCATGAAGATGTCTCCTTTTAATGTATTTTATTACATAAACAGGCATAGTACAAAACACATTCTTAACCACTATTTTACATCCTCCTTTCTACATATTTTATTAAAGTGACTTGATAGTAGTTAGTGAAAAAAAAACAACCATATAAAATTACCATATTTTTTGTTCAAAAAGGCGCATCTAGGTTTAGAGGAGAAAACAAGAAAAAAAATATTCTGAACCAAAAGGTGTACTAATATATTTAATAAAATGTAGCAGAATAATATTTCAACCCTATAAAGTCAACAGCAGTATTAAGAACCATCATTACCATCATTACCAAATGAGGAGAGACTTTAAGGTTCAATCACTTTTCTGGAAACCCCAAAGACTCATCATCGCTAGTGTTAGAATTTATGAAGCTCAGTTGCTCACAATCACTGATACCGCTTTCTTCGCTACCTTCATAAATGATATCATCTTCAGTTCCATCTAAAGCATTGCTAATGCCACATTTTTTGAATGACCGTGCAACAATTTCATCCTTCACCGAGTGCCATGATGTTTTAACCCATTCACAAACTTGAGTGATAGTGGGTCTCTTCATTTGTCCAGTAGGTGTTAGATCATGATTACCAGCAGCCATCCATTTGTTCCACTCTTCTCTCATAAAGACTTTAAATGGTTGGTTGAGGGAAACGTCAAGAGGTTGCAACTGGCTGGTAAGACCCCCAGGAATTACAGCTAGATGAGTCTTCGCTTCTTTAAAGCTCTTTTTTGTAGTTTCACTAATATGTGCTCTTAATTGGTTGAGCACTAATAAAGCAGGTTTTTTCAGAAGTCCTCCGGGACGTTTAGACCACACTTTTTCAACCCATACTCTCATTCCATTTTCGTCCATCCATCCTTTCTCATGGACGTGCACAACAACTCCTTGTGGAATCGCTTCTTTTGGAAAGTTTTTCGTTTTGAAAATTAACATCGGTGGCAACTTGGTACCGTCTGCACAGCAGGACAACACAACTGTGTAATGTGTTTTCTCATGTCCTGAGGTTTTCGCAGTTATGGTTTTGGCACCTTTCAGATCAACAGTGTTATTAGATGGCACATCAAAGGTTAGCAGGACTTCATCCATGTTCCCAATTTGGCCAATTTCAAAATCATTTTTCTTCCTAGCATCAATTACAAATTTACGAAAAGACAGAATCTTAGATTCATACTCTTTGGGCAGTTTTTGCGCAATTCTAGTTTTTTTGCGCATAGCAAGGCCACATCGCCTCATAAATCTGTAGCACCACGATGGTGATCCAGTAAAATCCTGAATGCCTTTCTCTACCGCAATGCGTTTGGCTTCATATATTACCATTTTAGTAGAGACTGAGAAGCCATTATTCTGGTGACGTGTGATCCATTCTTTCATGTCCATGTCTAACTGTGGCCACTTTGCGGCATGCCCACGAAAAGTGTGCTTGCTTTTATCTACTTTTCGCAGCTGATCCTCCTGTTTCCTCCACTCTCTTATCATTTTTTCAGTTGGAGGTGACCCAAAATGTCTCTCCGCTGCTCTGTTTCCATGTTCCTTAGCATATTTTACTACTTCCAGTTTAAAAGGAATTTTATATACTAGTCTTTTCTGCTTTGACATACTTGTATGTAGCATGAGGAGGTACCGTAGTATTTTTCTGCCAAGGAAACACAGTAGTGAAAGAACTGTCAGTAATGTGTCCTTTATTGTTATGAGAGCAACGTAGCTGAGAACATCAAGGAATGATACATTATTATAGGGGATCTGCTGTAGACATACTGTTATGCAGGTGGATCTGCTGCTGACGCACTGTTATGGGGGACACATTTAAGGTTTTACCTTTACAGGGGACAGTTTATAAAGAGGATACTTTATTAGAGGACACTTTCTTAGGCACTATTCATACAACTATATTTTGTTTCTGCACTTCCCTCTTATATCCCCATCCCCATCAGAATGCCCCCTTGCATTAGGTGTCCCCATCAGAATACTGTGAATATGGAGTACCGTCTCACTCTGAATATGGAGCGCCAAATATGGAGCAACAGTGTAGTGAGGGCAGGAAGCGGAGCCTGAGAGGACCACAGAGAGGTGTAGCAGAGGCAAGGCACAGACAGGCTGAAAAAACAACAACCTGGAAAGAGCACAATGGCAAAACAACCATGCCAAGTGCAATCACCACATGCACATTCAGCAACTTCACACAAATGTTGTCATTGCATCTTGCTATCCAGATGGCAGTAGTACACAAATTGTACTGTATTGGCCCTGAAGGACACTATGGTGGCATTTGTGAGGTGTCATTGCAAAAGTCAGCATTTGGGCTATTGCAGACACTCATGTGACAAACTCCTTCCACAGGACGGTCACAAAAACCGCAGGGATATAAAAAGAAGTGGAGATTTCACCTTCATTTGGATGACGTCACCTCTACGAATTGTTTTGCAATTTGGAGCTGTAACAGAATAACAAAGTAACCGTTGGTTCAACTCCCTGCTCAAAATAATGACATCATTATTATTGGGCACTTGGTAACTGGCATGCATTTACGATGGTTATAATTTCCCAGGGTTACGTATATAGCATTCGGTCAAAATAGAATTGGAAGGGAACTTGCAGGTCTTCTAGCTCAACCCCCTATACCAGTGATGGCGAACTTTTTTAACACTGAGTGCTGAAAAGGGAGCGTGCACGTTCATCTGGGCTGCAACCTGGAAGAGGAACTGCCCAGGGTGCATGCGCACGCCGGAAAATGAACTTCCGGTTTCTGGCACGCACATGCATGCCGGCTGGCCAGATAGTTGTCTGGTTACTGGCGCGTATGCGCGCACAACGATCAGCTGGGCAGCATGCATGCTCATGCCAGAAAACAGAAGATCAGCTCTTCCGGATTCCAGCACTGCTGCATGCACAAAGGCCAGCTGATGATCACACACATGCGCGCCAGAAACCCAGAGGAGGAACAGACGCCACCGCACGTGCTACTTCAGACATGCATGCCACAGGTTTGCCATCACGGCCCTATACCTCTTAAAAACCTAGTGATGAAACACACACAACTTCTGGAGGAAAGTTGTTCCACTGATTAATTGTTCTAACTGTCATGAAATTTCTCCTTACTTCTAAGTTGCTTCTCTCGATCAGTTTCCATCTATTGCTTCTTGTCCTGGCCTCAGGTACCTTGGAGAATAGTTTGACTCCCTCTTCATTGTGGCAACCCCTGAGATATTGGAATACTGCTATCATGTCTCCCCTAGTTCTTCTTTTCATCAAACCAGATATACCCAGTTCCAGCAACCGTTCTTCATACGTTTTAGCCTCCAGTCCCCTAGGTATAACAGTGTTTTTCAAATTAGGCAATTTTAAAGATGTGCAGACTTCAATTCGCCAGAGTCCTGCTGGCTCAGGAATCATTGAAGTCCACATATCATTAAAAAAACCTGCCCAGTTTGATAAACATTACTTTAAAACACCAATGCGGGCCACACTCTGAGAAAAGAGCGGGGCAAGAAGATAAGTCACAGTTCCACGAGTCCCTTTTAAAAGAACTACAACAACCGGCATCCTCTTCTCCGAACAGAAATAAAAGTCCCAGCGGTGTGGGTGGGTGTGATTTTGCCCTGTTAATTTCAAAAACTAGACTTTGCAAAATTATAGAATTGCAGAGGGCTTGAGCTGGTTCCGGAATTAAAAAAAAAACTCCAGGACATTCCAATTACAGCCTTCTTGTTTTTTATTTGTTGGATTTGCTTTTGCCTAATTGTGACCTACAGCAATTGTTAGTAATTTATTTTGTCAGGGTTACCTTGCAGATTTCTATGTCTTGTATATCATTCGCATTGGCTTCCTTGCTTTCTGCAAGCCAGAGATGACAACCAGGTTCCACATCTCCTCTGCGACTTCGAATTACAAGTCCTATAAACCACAATAAAAGAAGACAACTTGTAGTCCAAACCGATCTGCGAGATAAATTCAGGGCCTAAAGTTTCGCTCTCTTTTTCTCTCTCCCTCTCTCTTTTCCCCCTTCTCTGTCTCCCTCCCTCCTTTTCTCTCTCTCTCCCCCTCCCTCTTTCCCCTTCTCTTTCCCTCCCTCCTCCTTCCCCTCCCTTCCCCTCTCTCTTTGTCGGTGTCTCTTTCCCTCCCATTCTCTCTTTCTCTTTTCTTCCCCCCTCTCTGAGTCTGTGGGTTGTGGCTCCCTTGTGCTCCCTTGTGTTGTGCCAATTCAGAAAATGTGAATTCCAACAGCCGGGTTTAGAATGAGGATGAAACGTTTGCAACCAAATTGACAAGCTCGGAGCTCAAACCAACAAGATAACTACCACCCGAAGCTACTAATATTCAAAGACATTTCAACCAGAAGACCCTGCCTGACCCCTGCGTTAGAGATGCCCACTTACCCTGGCGCCTTCCTGGCCTCTGATCTGTCACTTGTCATTTCCCAGTAGCTTGTGGACTACAGCTCCCAGAGTTCCTGGCTGCAGGGGTGGGAAGGGAGGGGCTTTGTCATGCAATATTCGCTCCATAAGATGCACAGACATTTCCACCCACTTGGGGGTGGGGAAAAGTGTGTCTTATGGAGCAAAAAAAAAAAATGGTATATCCGATTTGAGGTGTAAGATATCTTGGGAAAAGGAAGTCAGTTCATTGTCATTTACACCCACTGGGGAGTCTTGCTCTAATATTGAAGGGCAGCAGTCAAAAGGCATATTTAGCAAATCTGATCTAAGAGGACAAGAACAAGAGAAATGTTACTCCTGGTTTTTGTATCTAAAAGTACAAATATACTTAAGAGCTTTGGGCTCTCTGGCTGGGTTTGTGCAGTCCCCTACATCAAAATATGCTTTGCTTACTTGCAAGCCATGATGAAGCAGATTAAGTGTTAGCATGTGATGTGGTTGCAGACTATTTAAACTGTGTTCATGATATAAGTTCATTGCTTGTATATCCAAACATACTTGCTTATAGATTTTGTCAGCAATCTAGTTTCAGTCTTAAAACTCCATTATTCTGAGATGAAAACTCATCCCAGTTTGTTGAACTATCTATGTCTGGCCTGATGATCAGCGAAAATGGGTTTGCACTCACTGTGCAAAGCAATAGAGTTTGCAGTGCACCGACTAAAGGAACCCAGGTATTCTCTAAGGTTTGCAAACTATGGTTTACCATCCAGCGTAACACAGGAATCCAGCCACTGTGGTTTACTTCTTGCAACTTGTATGGCCACTTGATGTAACAAAGCAAAAGCAGAGCATATCAAAGACAAAAGAAATTGTTAACCAAGGAGACCCACCAATATGCTAAACAATGCTTAGAGCAGTGTTTCTAAACCTTGGCAACTGCAAGATGTGTGGACTTCAGCCCCAAGAAGCCCTACCTAGCCCGGGTTAAGGAATTTTAGGAGTTGAAGTTCACATAACTTAAAGTACCAATAAAGGAGAATATTTGTAGCTCAGAGTTGAAATGAGGGGTTCTTGGTGCTCTCTGGGTTTGCTTTGTTTTCTTGGAGATGTTTCATTACCCAAACTAGGTAACATCATTACTGCTAGTAAAAAGTGCTGTTTGCTGTCAGTATAAACTGACATATAATCATATAACCTGACACAAACAGCATTCTTTACCAGCACTGATGATGTTACCTAGTTTGGGTAATGAAACATCTTCAAGAAAACAAGCAAACTTAGAGAGTACCAAGGATCCCTCATAACTTAAAAGTGGCTACGTTTGAGAAACATTGCCTTACAGTCTTAAGAGCCTTATAACAGGGTCAGGATTGTCTACCGGTAAATCTTGAGGGAAATTCTTCCATAGATCAGGTGCTTTGACAGACACAAAAAAATAGCCATGTTTCTTGGAGCCGCTAGATGGCACTCTGTCACAAAAGAGCCGATTTCTATGCAACAAGCAGAACAATTGGGAGGCAGGGAGTTGCGTTACAGGCGCTTGTGCCTCAACGGGTTTTTACGGATAATAACAATCTTGCACCCAGATTGCACTTTGGAAACCAGTGTAGTTTGGCAAACAGTGGTGCAATAATTGAATGCCAGGCCAAGGCATTCTGAACCAGTTCCAACTTAAAGAGTGTGCTGTACTGATCCAAACAGGTGACCAATCCCTGGTTCAACAAACCACAGCTGAAATGAGCCAGGTGCACGCATTTGATGTCCGGCAGAAATAATAAATAATGCATTAAATTAACAGGCCTTTTAAGTCTCGGTGAAAAATCCCGCACGAGCTCCTTCCTTTCTCCTTGGCCTTCTAGTTAATAAATTTATTAAAAATTTGAAGCTCTTCGGTGACAGCTAAAAAAAACGAGGGCTAGAAACCACTCTTTTTTTTTTTTTTGGCTGCCGGAAAGATTCCATCCTTTTCTTGATCCTTTACTTTCTCCACTTCGAAATAACTCAGGGCATTTTACAAGACACCCCCCCCCAAAAAAAAAAATTCACCCGTCGTCAGAATCCATTTTGGGAAGAGAGCAGCCGCCCCCGCGAAACTGAGACCAATGTCGAACGACTCGGGACAATTGCAGGATTTCTCATAGGGATAACGATGGCAACATCTGAGAATCGTACCAAGAAAGCCCCTGGACGCTTAGCTACCAGCCAAGCTCTCCTTGCAGATGCAATAACCAGACTGCTGCTATACAAGAGCCAGGTCTGGCCTCGCGAAGGCCAGGCAAGCTAAACTGCAGCCGGTGGGCTCCGCCTCGGCTTCCGTGCCAAGAAGCAGCAGCAGCGCGGCTGAGCTTACCGCAGGAGCAGCAAGCAACAGAGGGTTCTCCGCTGCAAGGAACGGACAACCCTCTAGGGGGCGCAAGTCAAAGCCTGCGGCCGGCAGCTTGAAGATTCAAAACCCAAAACAGAGCTGCTGTTTAGTTATCTGGGTGGAAGTCGGAGCCGCCATGCCTGGGGTGCAATACAACTCTTGCATCTCCCCAAAGCGTCACATCATCTCCATGTTGACCTGCATGGCCACATGAGTGGAGAAAGCAAATTCAATCAGATGACCTGACACAGGAAGGAGCCAAAATGGAAAACCGGTGAAAAGGAAAAGTGTTCTACCTCGAGTGCTGTAGGCTTTCTCGGGGCATGCAGTTAAGTCCACGCTTAGGAATCTCATTCAGATCAAGTGTATTATTAGGCATTCTTCATAGCAAAACTTAAGTTCAGTGTTGAGATACTTCTGACTTTCCATAATTTGTCCTGTCACGTGGTGTAAAAAGATGATGAAATTAGACCCTTATGTTTGTATTTCCTGCAACTAAAATGCTGTTATTGGGGCCTGTAATGTACCTGGCATTTGTCAAAACATATATCTCACCTTTGATCTGATTTCCTTCTGCATAAGAAGTATCTCACCATTGATTTGTTCCCCCTCTGCCTAAGAACTATCTTACCTTTGATCTGTTTCCTTGACAACAGGGGGCCAAATGGCCAATCGTGCGATCAGAGGAAAGTGATAAGGCAAATAAGGCTAATGGAGAAGTATTATATCCTTTTGCAGGAATATACAAAACCAATAAAGAAGCCAGGATGTAATTTTATGACCTTCGCTTCTCTGAAGGGTAGCTCTTCCCTGCATGTATCTTGTATGTGTTTGGAACAGCTGACCATTTAACCGTGATCAAGATTAAATGCAATATTTTTCAAGCCTCCCTTTAAGTTTCTTGTTTGGCATTTATGACCTTAAATGTATTATTATTGAACCTTACAATGGCATTTAAAATGACCGGTTTTGTTCTGTATGCAGGCAGAACGCCCCAGTGGCCAATCAGAAACACAGATATGATCCCATGTCATGGAACTACATTTCCCATCAGGCAGTCTCTGCCTACGTTTCCCAGGAGGTAGTTTCTTAAAGGAGACAGCTCTTAATTCCTACATTATCTATATACTGCCGGGGCAGCACAAAAAGGCAAAGAGATTAATGGTGGAGATGGATCTGGCTTTGGCTCGGAAAGAGGCTGAGTCAGCTTGCTAAAGGTGCGTGTGGGGGACCCGGGGACATGAGGACTAGAGCCTTGGTTTGCGTGTATAGGGAAACAAAGCGAAGCTGCTTTTCTTAGGCTGCTTTCATTTCGCTGATGCGGCGAGCATTCGTGGCAGGGGAGCGTCCGGATTTTCTAACAGCTGTGCGAAGACCCATAAGGCTGGCACAGCCCGGTGGGGGAGAGCAAATGGGAGACTGTGGGAGTGGGTCGTCTGGCAAATATCAGCTGAGAAAACATGAAGTTTATGTGAAAAGCGTTACGCTTTTTTTAATCTGGGAAAATCTCCTTTAATCATGGAAAAGAGCATTTGTTAAAAAGTGAAACCAAGCAAGTGAAAGGGTTTTTTTTCTACTGAATTTTACAGAGATAGTGTATATGTGACCAGCTGGAAACTCTATGGCTTTCTTTGTATTAGGAAAGGGCTAAAAATTAGACATTTCCATTAGGATATCAAAATAAATATCGTGCTCTGAACAATGTTTAATGTGTGTTGGAATAATTCCCGTTGGAATAGTTGTGAATAAAGGAACAGGGAAAAGAAAAATGCAGTATATGAGCACTGTACAAATATCTTTATTGGTGTAGGTGCGGTTTAGATAAGCACTCTGTGCATGTGTTGTAGTAGGTATGTTTGTGTGTAAAATGTGTTTCTGCAATGAAGTTCTTCCTGTTTAGGGAAACGATCTGGAGGCAACGTACAAAATGTTTCAAACCTGGAACTAATAGTTGCTTCTATAATCCCTAAATAGAGACTTTCAGGAAAGCTACATTAGCCAAAGTAGCATGCAGGAACAATGAAGAACAACTAAGACTCTCAAACAGTTCTCTCCAACCTGGTGTTCTCCAGATATGTGAGAACACTGAAGAGGTAGTCCTCACTTAGCCACTGGAATTTCTATAGCTAAACGACATTGTGTGACTGCATTGTTTAACAAGGGCAGTTCCGGCACTTCTAATTAATGTTATTAAGCAAATCCTGCACCACTATTGAGTGTGAGATGACAAGAACAAGAACTTTGTCATTGACTTTGCTTGTCAGAAGTTGACAAGTTGACAATGAAGGTAGCAAATGGTGATTGTGTGACCATAGGATGTTGCAGTGCTGTAACTGTAAGCGTGTCACTGAGTCCTTGGGTTGTAATCACATGACTGTGGGAACTGATCCTAAGTATCCCTTTTGCTCAACAATGTTGTACATCTGTACGGTCAGTGTATGAGTGGTTGTTTAATGAGGACCCGTTCAGGACCCATTCAGAGTTTAAACACATCTGGAAAACTGAGGGATAGTTTGGAGCCTAAGTGTAATATAATATCCTCTCTATTTGTGAAACTACGTCAGTTTGTGATTCACTGCAGCCTGCTGGTCTTTATATACAGCTTCCCATAATAGTGACCATCTTTTGGAGGCAATAACCAAATAAGGTAAACCATAGCATCTATCTTTTGCACTACTGTTGCATTAT